GCCTCTAGCCTCTACTCCTTCGCGGCGCTGTCTTTTGGCATAGTGTGGAAGCGGGGCTGCTCTGCGAGGTGCCTGCTTGCTTTTGGCCTGAGTAGTACGATGCTTTCCTTCCGTCTCCGGGGACGGGGACAGGGAGCGGTCACGTTTTATCCCTCTAGAGAGGTTTGATCTGGCTAGCTGTTCTTCGAGCCTGATAATGTGGGTAGCAAGTGGATGTCAGTACAAGGAGACCAGCCGGGTTGTACAGTGTAGTATTTAACCATTAAATGTGGATGTGCAATTATGTGACACAAGAATAACCGATCGCAGACCATACGGTAATGAGCCGGAGTCATGGAGTAATGAAAGGAAATGCAGAGGAGTAGGAGTAAGCTCGTAGGTATAGGGAAGTAGATACGTATTATAGGTGGAGAGGACATATAGACACATAGCATGGGTGTGATATGGGGCCGCGTGGATGCGGGGCGTGGGTGTAGGTTACGGGCATGGGTTATGGGTGCGGGTTATGGGTGCAGGTTATGGGTGCGAGTTATGGGTGCAGGTTATGGGTGCGGGGGGGGTGCGTGAGGGTGTGCGGCATGTGTGCATGATGAGCACAGGGGCGCAAAGATGAGATGTGGGTTAATGACAGTGCGGTGTGAGATGTTGTCAGCTGCATGCCCCTCAGCTTGTGAATGAAATGGTGACTGACCGTTTAATGCCTTGGGCCTGACGGAGGTTGAGCACCTCGCTGTACATTTCATCCAGCCGTTTGTCATTGACAACACTGATGTCGAAGACTTCCTCGTCATTGGTGCTCTTGAGGTCTTCCATCCACCTACGGCGGATGCGCGCCTGGTACAGTAGAACAGCGGTTTCTCCCCCCTCTAGGTCGCTGATTGGGTGCTTGTCGAGCTCGAGAAAGAATACACCAAGGGCCATGACGTGTTCCTCGGGCCAGCCTGCGTCCACCATGGCCTCCAGCATGTAGTCCTTCGCCTTGATGATTTGGCGCCATTCGAGGTTCTCATCCTGGACGACCTTTGTGGATGGCTTGTACGCAGCGGCGGGTTTTGCCAGCACGTTCTCTCCGTCAGCCATCAGGGTGAAGGTGCCCCTCGCCACTGAGTATTCCGTCCTCTCGGCCTCAAGACAGGCCTCCTTGGTGAAATAGTAGAGCTCAACGTACTCGAGTTGTTCGATCTTGTGGATCGCATAGCGGGAAGGTCGACGAGATGACAACTTCCCGACCGTCTTGTTCGGGGTGAACCGTTTGTTCTCCCTCTCACGCTTCTCAGCTTCGGCGGCCTCTTGCTTTGCTTGCTCCTGAGCTGCCCTAGCTTCCTCTTCTTCTGCGTGGTCTTGCTCGACCTGGGCGTTCCACGCGACTCTTTGCGCGTCGTTGTTCTGGGTCCAAGCATTTTGGGAGTCGGCTATGATAGCGTCCACTGTGCGCTCGGCGGTGGCTAAGGTGGCGTAAAGCGCCCGGAATTGTTCCGACTCGAAGTCGGGGGGTTGCACCAAGTGCGGGTCTTGTGTGATACGTGGCGGCATGTGTGGCCTGAAGTTGCTTTAGGTAGAGTGAACAGCAGAGATACAGCGCGTGTTGGTAGATACGATGAGAAAAGAAAAGCCCGCAACGCTGGACTGCTCTCAGCGTGGGCAGCAGGTGGCAGTCGAGGAGAAAGAGGTTCTCCTCACCTAACACTGCCACCGCTGATGCATAGACCGCACCCTAACCCTACGCTCGTACCTCACTACGTTATAGGCCAAAAACAATACTTGCCACCAACTTCGAAAAGTTTGAGAAGGGTGCAGAGTTTCGTGGTATCATGAATCCGTTGCTGGGTTCCGGAGTTTTTGCTGCCGATGGTAAGCTTGTTCCCAAAAGTCTAAAGTCGCTATCAACTGAATTTCTTCCATAGGCGAACTTTGGAAGTGAGGATTCAAGCTTTCCATATTACTACCGTCTCTAACATCCTGCACCAAATTAGATTTCATTGGTCTATGACACGCCCCTTCTTCACCAAGGACCGAATCAGCCATTTCGACAACTTCGAACGACGCCATCAACCAGCTGAAAGTAAGATTCAGAGAAGGCTATGCCGTCGACATCCAGGTGTGTTGCTATCCGCGCACATCACCTCGTCCAGTATTGAACTTTGAGTAGGACATTACCGCCCAGTTCACCCTTGACTCCGCAACCGAGTTCCTCTTCGGTAACGGTGTCTGTTCCCTAGCAAACGGGACGCCGTACCCGCCCAACTCGCCCCCCGCTCAGACCACCACGTCCTCCGGCTCCTCTTTGCTTGACGCGGCGACGCGGTTTGCGCAGGCCTTCTCCGAGGCGCAGACCATCACGGTCAACAGGGCGCGCTTTGGGCCTTTCTGGCCATTGACAGAGTTTTGGCACGACAAGATCGCCGTGCCGATGAAGATTGTGCATAGGATGATCGACCCGATTGTTGCTGAGGCGGTGGCGAGGAAGAGGGGAAGAAGGAGAAGAAGAAAGAGGATGCTGAGGATGTCACGTTGCTTGAGGAGTTGGTTAACTCGACGGAAGGTAAGATACCTTTCATTTTTATTTTCATCTACGTTTATTCACATTTTCGGGTAAAGATCCTGTTCTGTTGAGGGATGCGATTATGTCTTTGCTTGTTGCAGGGCACGATATTTTTACACATCGACGCTAGGGTCTGACACGATTTTACAGACAGCCAGCACGCTGACTTTCGTCATCTATATGCTTGCAGAATACCCGGAGGTTCTCCTCCGCTTGCGCGAAGAGATCTTGAACAAGGTCGGCTCAAGCAGGAGACCAACATACGAGGATATTCGCAACATGAAGTGCCTGAGAGCTGTTCTCAATGGTATGTTGGCACATTTCTAATTTCACTTTGGAGCGGATGTCAAATATTGTTTCTGTACTGCAGAGACCCTCCGACTTTATCCAGTGGTGTAAGTCTTTCAAGACGAACACGGGAATTTAGTTGCTTATCCTTCTTTGATTAAGTCCTTTCAATGGTCCGTACTGAAGTCTGCCATCCAAAACAAGTCACGCTAAATTTCACTTTCCACAGAATGTCAAAGGATGCCACCACTTGGCCCCCAATCAAGCCACGGGATAAACCTTTCTACATCCCAGCAAACACTCGGTATCTCTATTGAACATGTCGTGACTAGCATCTCACTGATGATCTACAGTCTTGGCTATACTGTCCTTGGGATGCATCGGCGCAAGGACTTATGGGGACCAGATGGTCAGTTGTCCGACTTTAGAATCATCTTTGACAAGCTCGTCGACACCCTTTCCCATGTAGCGCTGGAATTTGACCCAGACAGGTTCCTCGACGACCGACTCCAACGCTACTTGACTCCCAATCCCTTTATTTTCCTACCCTTCAACGCTGGGCCCAGAATATGTCTCGGTCAACAGGTACTTTCGTTTTCCCTCCTTATTTTCTCGGGGTTGCTCACCATGGTTATCCGGAGTTCGCGTACAATGAGGCGTCATTCTTCCTGGTCCGACTTCTCCAGAACTTCTCTTCCATTACGCTAGATCTGGATGCCCAGCCAGCCCATTCGCGCGCACCGCCGGAATGGGCGAAGGAGGAAGGGCGAAAGGGCAAGGAGAAAGTGAGACCCATGGCCCATTTGACGATGTATTTAGAAGTGAGTTGTGGTTTAAATTTGTGGTTTTCAAGGTTTCTTTGTCTAAAACCTCTGATGTCTAGGGAGGATTATGGGTAAAGATGGAAGAGGCGAAGACCGCCGATGGCGAATGATCTATTAAAAGCACCGTCCTTACACTCAAGCTCTATCACACAACCTACATGATGGAGACACTGGAAATGCCTCGGAAATTGGACTTCCATGATACTCTTACATATTAGTCTCTCAGTGTCTCGACTGACTGATTGGTTTAGGCGTCCTCAAGCACGAAAAACTTCCAATCAATGTTCTGTCAACACCATCGAACCAATCACTCCTGTCGTTCACCTCATTCACCATCCTTGAACAAGTTGGATCTCAAGCTTCAAGCTTCATGGCCTCAAGACTTTTTCCCCAGCACAAGGCCAAGCGTGACACAGTAAAATCGTGGTTTCTTGGCCTTGCTGCGGAGTGGGCGGCAAAACGTCATTGATGCAGCCAGAGCACTTGTGTTTTGCGCTTGTCTTTCCTATTTTTAATCCAGAATCGAGGCCCGAACCTTCGCATAAGCTCCCAAGACCTTCAAAGTCGATTAAATATCCTGCATGTTGAGAGCGGAATGCCTGAGCTGAAAATGTATATATCTGAAAGCTAACTCTTTTATGTAATGTCTTACAGCCTCTTCCTCTCTTGCTCCAGGAAACTTCGGCCAAGTGGCTCTTTGACCACGTAGTCGAGAATGCCGAGTAGCACTGAGGCATGATGCACGTTCTTTATACGGTTGCTCATCAGTCTATCGACAAATTTGTACATTAGGGTTCCTTCACCTTTGACTACCATCCGCCCCCTGCCCCTTTCACCCCCCTTCCCTCCCCATCTTAAGCCACAATGACCTCTACGAAACCCGACACGATTGTAGATGAGGACGCGCCCGGAGCACCCATCTCAGTCCCAGACTCGGGAGACCACGGAGAAGGGGGCAAGATCAAGATGATTGTGCAGCTCGTGAAGAAGTGTTTGGGCGTCAAGGACATCGCTGCAATGTGAGTTCCGTTATCGTTGTTCGACAGAATAGTCATTGAGGAATGCTTGTCAGGCGGTTGTCGCTGCCAGCTTCATTGCTGGAGCCTATACCCAACCTCGAGTACTGGCATTATCTGGACAGGCCCGACATGTTCGCTTCGTACGCTGAGCCGTTTTTGCTCCGTTGATGCCATTCTGACCCCAGGCTCCTCAGTATCAACGACTCCGATGATCCCTTCATGCGAATGATAGCAGTGTTGCGGTTCACTTTCACGAAAGATCTCAAATTCGTAGTAGGTCCCGTCTCTTCCAGCTAGTCCTTGCTCACACTCTCCATAGCATGGGAAGGTCTGCAAGCCGTACAACTCCGTCCTCGGAGAGCACTTCAGAGCGCACTGGGATATCGTACCCACTCCTTATGAGATCGAGGAGCCGGCAGAGTCAACGGAGACATACAAGTCGGAATCGGCAAGCCTGAAGAGCTCCAAGAGCACTACCAGCGGCGTTAGCTCATTTACCAAGCCGAAGACTCCCTCTACTGCCCCCACCTCTCCTCAGCACGGTGCCACCGACGACCTTGCGGGCCAGATGTCCAACCTCAACCTTACCACCCCTGTCCGCGTCGCCTATCTTACGGAGCAGGTCTCCCACCACCCGCCCGTGTCCGCTTATTACGCCTCATGTCCTGCACGTTCGATCGAAATGTCGGGTATCGATCAGATATCAGCCAAAGTGTCTGGCACAACTCTACGTGTAGCTCCAGGCGAGCACAATCAGGGCATATTCATCAAGCTTACAGGCGGACCAGGCGAAGGCGAGCGGTACCACGTTACGCATCCCGTTGCGTCTGTAAACGGCATCCTACGGGGCAGCTTCTACGTGACTGTAGGTGACTCGACGATTATCACATGTGAGGGAGGAAAGCCAGGACATAAGTTCAGGACTGTCATTGAGTACAAGGAAGAGGTACGCTCTCAGTTCCCGCTTCTTGTCCGTATTTGACACTCTCGCAGTCCTGGCTCGGTCGCGCACACTTCCTCCTGGAAGGTGTCATCCATACCGTCTTTGACTCAGATACTAAACATTGCTCTGAATGGACCAAGGTAAAGCACATACCCCAGAACCGAGTCGTCGCAGTCTTCGACGGAACCTGGCGCGGGCGTATCCGTTGGAAACGTGTTGGCACAGGCTCCTACCCCACAGCCGACCACAGTGGTGTCACTCGCTCGACGTCCTCCTCGCCAAGCCCATCGCACGTCAAGTTGCCTACGCCCAACATTCCTGCGGCATCATTCTCCAAAGCTGACGTCTCAGGTCGTGCCCCTGAGGAAGAGTGGATGACGCTGCTCGATTTATCGATCCTTGAGATAGTGCCCAAGATTGTACGGCCCTTAGAGAAACAACATGCTCGGGAAAGCAGGAAGTTGTGGGAGAATGTTACCGACAAGCTGCTGAAGAAGGAGTTCAGCGAGGCAACAAAGGAGAAAGTCACGATTGAGCAGCGCCAGAGAGATGAGGCTGCTGAGCGGAAGAGGAAGGGGATCGAGCACGTTTTGTTTTCTTCCAGGACTAACGAACGACTAATAATGTCCAACAGATTCGTTCCCAGATATTTCGCTAAGGATTATCTGGCTGGTTATGCGGAGTTGACCTCCGATGGTACTCAGGCCGTCGAAGAGGAGTTGAAAGAGGACTCCTCTTACTGTATAGAAGGCGTTGACGTCAAGGCGACACTGGCTGCTTAAGATCAGATATTTCCTAACGACTTACGATAACGACGTGTACGACATGGCCATGGACCTTTTTCAACAAGTGGAAAGAATGCACCAATCTTCAAGTTTCAGTTTCAGCTGCAGTTATTTTCGTTACCTGCTTTCTTTCTTCCCTTGCCCGCTCTACCCCCTCCCTTCGCCTACACGCCTTGCTTTGTTCATGTATAGCCTCTTGTACTATATGTCGCTTAAGATCTTGCGCATCTTATCCCTCTCTCCATCTCTCCCTCGACACTCCTTTCCTACATATATATGTTTACCCGCTTTTGAATTGATACCACTTCATCGCAGATCCCAATTCAGACGTGCCTTCGTCCTTCGCCCCCCCATTCTTTGAACCTTCTCTCGAACTATTGTGCCAACGCTTCGACGAGCAATTTTAGTGCAACAGATGCAGACCCAAAGGATGCGATATATCCAAACCCTCCGTGTCTGGATACATTGCGGTCAATCCCCACTCGAACAGCGCCCAAACTAATTTCACCCATAGTTGTGCACCACCGGTACCTTTCTTGCCTTCGTCTTGATCCACTCAATTTCTAGTCGTGGTCCATCTTTTCTGCACGGCCGGAAGCCACATCCCTCTTCGACGATGATAGGGAGGATGTCCTCCACTGTTGGCTCCCTCTCTGCACGGATTTCCGGCGGGGCAATTTCGGGACAAAGCTCGAGGACACGCTCAAGGATGTTTCTTGTAGTTTCTGCCCTGGGACGCGGATGCCTAACGAGAAAGAGTATTAACTGAAGAGTAGATTGGGTCTTTGCAAGGTGCGTACCAATCGTCCGCCTCATATGTACCCCCAAGGACAATATCTCCACTCCGCCTTGGTATCGCATAGGTCCAGATTACATCGTCTCCCTCGTCTCCTCCACTTAGCGAGATACATTTCTTCAACCACGGTGCCTTGATCAGCACCGTCTAACCGCGAACGGGGTACACCTTCTTGTCCTCTACCCCACCGAGGAAGCGTGCTCCCAGGCCCACGCAGACGACCACTGCGTCCGGCAGGGGATAATCAGGCTTGGGATACAACGTTGAGGACAATGCAGGCCGGTTGGCGAATACTCCAGGTCCTCCGTTGATAACTTGGTCGATGTGCTGGACAGAGCCGCGGACGATCTTGCCACCTGCAGCGCGGAAGCGAGAAAGCAGGTATGGGAGGAGGGTTGGTGTATCGCTGTTTACTGAGTCGTAGGTTATCCCTGAAAGAGCGCCAGGGGCAAGGTTTTCAGGCGGTATTTCTTCGAACTATGATACAGCCGAGATTTCAAGTTTTTGGATGGGAAAGAAGGCCTGAAGACTCACGTTTGGCATGTGGGACAAGGTATCTAAGTTTGGATTTGGATGGCGATAGTGCTCGAACTGGGGCAGGCGCATGAAGCATCCCTGTGCTGGACCGTCAGAGGCGGAAAGATCCCACATCGTCCTGAAAGTCTCTAGGTCAATTTCTGTAGAGATGGGCCATTTGCAGGTACGTTAGTTACTAGTAGTGGTCGGGCTGCCTTATGCTTAGTGATGAAAACCATCCTTTCATTCGCAGTTTCCGCTCTAGGGGTCCTTCAAAACAATTTGAAGCACTCCCCCAATGCGGAACGCCTCACACTCCCCCTTAGTCCGTGTTGAACCCAAAAGGCATGGACTCTGTTGTGGGCCGCCCCTAAACACGGGGGTGCGCTGGGCGGAAAGCGGGGGTAGACCCTATGCGAGTCTGAAATGACCTTCCTTTGGATGTCTGACTCTGCACACAAGGCAGCCTGACCGGCCCTCAAGTCGCAAAAAGGCTGATTTTCGCGTTAGGATCGTGGGCCTTGCCCGAGGTGGATTGTTATCCACGGCCATAGGACTCTGAAAGCACCGCATCCCGTCCGATCTGCGCAGTTAACCAGAGTGCCGCCCAGTTAGTACCACGGTGGGGGACCACGCGGGAATCCTGGGTGCTGTGGTTTTTCTTTTTTTTTTCTCATTTTCGAAAATGGACAGGGTGCGCCACGCCTGGCTGCTCCAGCGCACACACCGACCAACAAGGCCAGCTTTCCTACTATGTAGGGGAGTGGGCTTGGTGGGGGGCAGCTCACCCGGGTGGCACTCGTTCGACTTCAAATCGGGGGCGTTCACTGGTGGATAGGTTCGACTCGCTTGATTTTGAATGGGGGCGGTCCACTGGGCGAAAAAGCCTTGCAACATCCACGCTTGGCTGCTCCTGTGCACACACGCACCAACAAAGCCAGCTTTCCTACTATGTGGGGAGGAGGTTCGAGAGGGTGATGCCTCGGGACCACCTCGGTGGGCAATAATCGCAAAGTGAATAGGTTCAAGCTGTCTGACTTGGTCGCAGGCAGCGGCGTTCACTCCTTTGGGGACTTGGCGGATTTCATGGCGCTCGAGGGGTGCACCCCGACTCTCGAGCGTGTCGCGTGTGGGGGGAGTTGGAGGGGAGACGGGACTTTGGCGTTGGAAGTCCCTTCTCCCTTCCCCTTCCCTCCCACGCTGGGGAGAGGGATAAGCTTCCCTCGACCCCGGGGGGGAGGGACTTCCCCGGTCCCTCCCTCCTTCAGGGGGAGT